CGACGGCGACCGTTTGCCTGAAGACCTGATCCTGAGCACCATCTCTTCAAATCTCCACCTCGGCGAAGATTCTACCAAACTGAGCCGACACCTATCAAACCAATACCTCAACTGTTGCATCCAGTACGTCATGGCAACGGACTCATGACAACAGACTCCAATCACAACACGTCGAGATCCAAACGGGAGTGCGAACACTCAACCCCAAACCAACTGTGTCTACTCACCAAACAACTGAGCCTACACCGACTACACCAAATGCCTCACTTGCTGAGACCCAAGTGGGAGTGCGAATACTCACCCCAAATGTCGATGTCGCTCATCAAATCGGCTGCATCATAAAGACTGCCTACGTATCCTATTGCCCAAGGAATCAAGCCTTCACGTAGTTCACCAATGGCCTCCAAAGGCCCTCAATCCAACCTGCGGCTGATAGCATCATCAACGACCCCAAACTGAAAACAGTCCAATACCTCCACCTGAGATGTAACAATGGTCGTATCCAAAACATATCCACCAGCTGCATCCAAATCAACCACCTCATCATCTGCATCCATAAATAAATGACTCCCACGCTGTGCCACCTCAGCTGGAATCCTAACCAATGCAGAATGACCTGAAGTACGTGGGGAAATCCCCACCCAATGTGGAGTAGCATCAACCTCCACCCGCTGCGATATCCCTCTAACCTGATCAATACTCTCCACCTGCCGAGAGTCTAAAGTGACAAACCTGCTCAGACTAAACTCAGAAGCTCCCCACTGATAGCCGAATGAACTCCTGAATCCCAAATGCGCAATCAGATCCAATCTCACATCAGCGATGTGACCAAGTGCTGGGTAGCCCAATATCCGACGCCAACCAAAATCTGAAGCAGCTCCACCAGATCTAACAACTCTATACGCAGCAGTCGGCAACCTCATAAGATGACCCAAACCTGTCGAAGCCTGAATACCAGATCCACTGCTCGACAACCAATACCGGTCCTCCTCCAGAAAAGAACGGCTCACTGAATCCTTCATCTCATCACGTCGCCCCACTGTCTCCTCTCCTCTGAAGTGTCTCAAACTGCCATGAGCTCGGCACCAATGCAAGAAAGGACTCCTACTAGAACAAGTACGACTGGTAACCTTTCTGCCCATACGCCTCCTCCAACTGTTGCGGACTACTAGGGCTTTATACCAACGGGACTTGGTTGCAACCCAAATATACCTAGTACAATCCCCAACATAGAAAACAAAATAACGATTACCTCCCGATGATGCCTCCTCGGAAAGCCCCACGATTACCTCCCGATGATGCCTCCTCGGAAAGCCCCCCAATGCCTGACTGAACACCTCCAATAAGACCTCTCGATCGATGGATAGAAGTGCTGAACAATACCTCAGTCTTCTCGCTCATACCAATGTGCTCACAGGACTTTAATCTGTAGGTCATAGCACTCCTCAACAATCTGTGCACGGTATAACCAACAATATATCCCAGCACCAAACAATGCCACAGTCTAGCCATAGAAGTAGTCAGCGCCCTATCAACTACCGTGCTCCCAAGTAGATAATACAAGTTACTCCGCCTGACTCCCTTCATCACAATTATGGACCCCGATGTGACCTTCAAGCGAGAATCCGCCAAGATCACCCTATAGCCTGATGCCTCCAATACCCCAAGTGAAATGATGTTCTTCCTCAGTTGAGGAACGAACCTCACATCAGCCAACTCCCGGATCATCCCGTCACTCATCCGAATCCGAACGGTACCAATACCACCAATAGGGCATCTGTGATCATTACCCATGAGAACAGCATCCCCTCTTTCCAACTCCTGAAAGCTGGAGAACCAATCCCTTCTAGGGCATATGTGGTACGTAGCACCAGAATCCAACATCCACTCGGTGGAGTCGGCAACATCAACTGACGGGAAGAGTTGGGCACGAATAGCCTGAAGAATCTGAATCTGAAACATCGCCACTAGCCTTGGCAACATTTACCTCTGAAGCTTGAATAACTTTCCCTTTATTCTTCACGGCTTGTAATTTTGGGCATTCGGCTTTCCAATGTCCATCATCTCTACAAAAGGCACACTGATTCCTACCAACTGCAGGATGCCCCCCTCTAGACTGCGATCTTCTCCCACAGTTTGGACCTTTAGCTCTTGCAACCAATGCCCCCGCAACTGGCTCGATGGAAGTCTCCTTGTCCTTCTTTCGAAGTTGATAATTCACAAGGGCTGCGGTGACCTCACTATACGAAAGAGATGCCTTCCCATTAATAAGAGTGAGGACGAAGGTCTCATATTCCTCGTCGGGCAAGGAACTCAATAACAACAATGCCTTGTCCTCGTCTTCAACAATGACATCTACATTCGCCAAATCTGCAAGTAGCTTCGTGTAGTGGTTCATGTGATCACTAATGGATGTCCCCTTCTTCAATTGGAAGCGATAAAGCCTCCTCTTCAAATGCAAACGATTTTCGATGCTCTTCGTCAAATATTTGCCCTCTAGGACCTCCCAAATCTTCTTTGCCGAAGTTTCATTCATCACATCATATTTAAGGTCTTGGGTAAGGCAAGACCTAATCACACCACACGCCGTTCTATTCATTTTATTCCAAACCTTTTCATCAATGTCGGCCGGTTTCCCGTCCAACTCCAATGTATCTTCCAAATTTTGCGCATTTAGCGCATCCATGACTTCGCATCGCCAAAGTCCAAAATTATTTGTGCCGTTGAACTTTTCCACATCTATTTTCATAGAATGTATATTCAAACTTTGGACGACCTTCACACCAGAAGAACCCTCCCCATTTTTATCTTTTTCAGCCATATATCTCAAAGCACCACCAAACTAATGCGGAAACAAACGAGAAATAGATCCAAACTGAAAAAGACGGGATTTTTACTGAAAAGATCCCACCTTTATCACCAAACGAAGCCCTAGATGAACTTCTATAGCGATCTACTCCTCCAAAATAGCCCAAGCGTAGCCCGGTGCTCTGATACCAATTGTTGTGCCTCGAGAAACCAAACCAATCGCCGAGAAAAGATAAACCAACACACCAAAATCAATAGCACAAACAATCAAACACCAGTTTTACGTGGTTCGGCAAGATGCCTACGTCCACGGGGCAAGGAGGGGGGAGTTTTCACTATTAGAAATCAAGAGGAACAAACTAGGGTTACAAATCTCTCATAAACCCTCAACAATCAACTCTCAATCTCTCCAATTGCTCCTAGAATAGAAGCCCAAAGAAAACTCTCTCAATCTGCTCAAATTCGTCCTTGCTCATTAACCCTAAAAAACACCCAAAGGGTATTTATACAAATCCAAAACGAAGCGGGTCTGAAAACAGGCCCAACTCAAAACCGCAGCGGCGGTCGACCGGTACGGTCGACAGAATTCCAGAGAGTTCGGCGGTCGACCGCGTCGGTCGACCGCTACCATCTTCGGTCGACTGTGTCGGTCGACCGCCACCAATCCTGATGCCCAGAAACTCCTGTGCACGAATGCGGTCGATCGCACCGGTCGACCGCCAACCTGTTTGCCTGAAGACCTTATCCTGAGCACCATCTCTTCAAAAAGAACATCTTTATCCAAAGGCATGGGAACTGATTCAAAAAACCGGAGCATGTCGGCGGTCCCAAAGGCCCAATAGGCTTGAAGCCCATTAGGTACTAAATAGATGCAAGACATATCTCAACATGAGATGGGGTATTACTAGCAAAAAACACAATGTAGTATCGAAATGAAATTGAATTGAAACTTGGGGGTATCAAATTGTTAAGCACCCACTTTGGGATATCAAAGTGAAAATAATGGATAAACTTGTGGGAACCAAAGTGAAAGTAAGCCTATCTAAAAGAATTCTCACCGCGTATATTGAATAGATGGAAGAAAAACAGACATATATCTTTCAATTTCTACATGATTTTCTTTAAATTGCCACCATATCTTTATAGGACAGTTATTTACGAAGAAAAAAATTCTTACGTACTTCACAACAACAAAGTTTTATGTAGGATAATCATTGTCAACCTAATGCTTTCAAAACATTTTTTAAACTTTCCTACTAATTTTTCATCTTATTGCAAACATATAATATTGAAGATTATTCATTGGATTTAAACTTAAACAATACTAGTAATTAAGAGTTTTCCCCCTCTAAAATCTACCTTTAAAATAGGGTTACTATATGAAACGACCTTTCATTTTTAATTTATAAATAAACTATCTTTAAAGCATATTTTTGTTGCAATCAATCACCCCTAGTCAAATTTTCACTTAAAAAAAAAAAATCAAAACTAAGTTTAAAAAATTCAAGTTTAGTGGACGCGAGTTGTACCCTAACAAGTGCTAAATACTAAAAAAAATAAGTCATGCGTCTTGCATGTGAGTTTTACAAGCTTAATTTTGAGTTTTTAATGAAAACTTTAAGTGAGAGGTAGTTGATTGCAATAAAAACTCACTTTTAAAAATAATTTATATATAATTAAAAATAAGATGTGGTTTTAGTATAGCTATCCCATTTTTAAAGTGGTTTCCAGAATAAAAAAAACCCATCAATTAATATAGAGATTGTCTAATAATTTCTCGTCAAATGCGGCACCTATAGACAATATGCGCGAAGACCATGCAATCATACGATATTTAGACTTCACGGCATTATTTTTTCCGTCAAAAACATGATATGTCTGTAACACAAAAAATTTATAAGGTATGAACTATTAATATTTGAGATGATTATTCGATGTTTTCCCCAATTTTCTTAAGGGTGTGTTTGGATTTCAATATGGTTAAGGAAAGTTAAGGGAAACTAGGTGAGAGAATAGAAGGGACGCCTTGGTTACAACCAATTTGAGGGGTAATAAATTTTATACTATTAGTGGGTGAACAAAAAAAAACTAGGGTGAATAACTTCACATCCTAAATATTTTCAAACAAGATGAATGGTTCCCCTAACTTCCCTTTACCCTTATTCACCTCAATCCAAACAAACCCTCTAAAACCCAATTTCCCCTCTAAAACCCCAATCCCGATAACGGACAAAAAGAACAGCTCCACCCAAATTCCAAGATGCTTGCGATGTTGCGATCGCAAGAAGCCAGTGGAGAACGTTAGGGTTTGGTTAAAGGGGGAAAAGGGTGAGTATAATTCTCTCATCAAAACTAAAAGAGAAGAATGCTATGAAGGAATGTGATCAACTTCTACGTAAATGATTAGCTTCGTTCCTTGTGTTTTCTACCCGTGGAAACTGTAGATATGATATGTGAAATTTTCTACTGATATTATTACTTGCAAACCATTTAATTTAATTTGATTTTGTTGATTACTCTGTGTACATATTAAACCTGATTTAACTTTCGTCTTCACACCCATAAACCACGTCACACTCCAGTTGAGACTTGGAACCCTTTTCTATCTTTTGCTTAAACCATTATACAATTCAGGTGTCTGTGTTTGTATTTACCATCAACTGTCCTGAGCTTTTGCCGTAATTTTGCGCGTGCGTCAGATGATGACGTCTACTCGTCGCTTGTTGATTGATGTAGGACGCTTAATCGGAGTTGGAGTAGGAAATATAGCTTAGGAAATAAATTCAATTTTAGAGTCAAATTAGATTAGGAAACAAAATCAATTTTGATTCATGATTTGTTTCCTCTTATTATAAGGAGTCTTTTTAGGATAGAATTTGATATTTTTTTTTGTAATTCTAGTCTTACTACGAGTCTTATTTGATACTTTCTATTTTTGTAATTCTAGTCTTACTAGGAGTTTTATTTGTTTTTCTATTTAAGAAGAGTCATGTAACCCCAAAGGAAGAATAACTTTTCATCAATAGAATTTCTCTTTTTAATATTTTCTTCGTAGATTCGAAGTTCTTCGTGGATTCGAAGATCGTTCTTTGTGGATTCAGAGAACACCCTTGGTGCATTCTGAGGTTATTATTTTCGCGCTGCGTCAATTGGTATCAGAGCGTTGTTCCTCTGATCCGATGGCAGGTGATGAAGCTCCTATTTCTCGAACCGAGTTCGACGTGCTAAAAGCCGATGTTAATCAGATGAAGTCTGTCATAGAGCAACTTGCGGTGGTAGTTGAGCGTCTGAACACGGCGGGAGTTTAAAATTGCGTTGATAGTCGTCAACGACGTGATTCGACTCCACATGATGAATTTAACAGCGACAATGACCCTAAGCAAGACTTTGGAGTTGGGAAGAGCACTAAAGAAGCAATAAGGAAAGAAGAATCACCTCCAGAGCATAATTTTTTCCACACGAGGTGCACTGTGATGCAGAAGATTTGCGATGTTATTATTGACAATCACAATAGAAAGAATCTTGTCTCTCGGCGTATGGTGAATAAATTAGGTTTAAAGATAAAGAAACACCCACCTCTCTACAAGATCGACTGGATTCACAAGGGCAATGATGTACAGAACGATGAGATGTGTCGTGTACATTTTTCTATCGGTCACAGATATTTTGATGATGTGTTGTGTGATGTGGTCGAGATGGATACTTGTCATATGCTTTTAGGTAGGCCATGGCCATTCGATGTTGGAGCTACCCACAGAAATAGAGACAATGTTTATATTTTCAAGAAAGATGGACGTCGAATTGTACTTCTGCCTCTTACAGAAAAGGAGCCTCTAAGATAAAAGCTACTGAGGAGAAGAAACCATTGGTGGCAAATAACGAGGCTTTAGCAGAAAACTTGAAGCAATCTGAAGAGGTCCATGAGATCCATTATGGTGATATGATAGTGAAAATGGATGATATGCATGATATTCTCAAAGGGGTTGAGAGCGATATTACACAATTGATGTTGTCCCGATGGAGGAGAAGGATAAATTAGAGAGTGAGACAATTGATGATATGTGTGAATTGCTTGGTATAGGGCTAGAGATAAAGGAGATGAAAGAATTGTATATGGAGTATGACGCGAGATTTTCTTCCCTAGAAGCAAAGTTGGTGAATAATTTAAAAAAGAATTTGATGATACTTCAAGCACTAGAATACAAGAAGCAACATGGAACATATTTTGAGGAGTTTTTGAAGTCAAGTGCACATCCACATGCCGTCAATAAAATACACATGATGTCGGAAAGAATAATATATGAATTTGATTCAGAAGAAGTCCTAGCCGAGAACGTAAAACAACAGATGGAGAAAATCAATGCTAAGTACAAGACAAACGCTAATTGTTATAAGAGAAGAAAATTATTTATCAATGAAGCTACTATTCTACCAAATATAAGCTCGGGGTCGAGCTTCTTTCAACAAGGGGAGATTGATGTAGGACGCTTAATCTGAGTTGGAGTCTATTTAGATTAGAAAATATAGATTAGGAAATAAATTCAATTTTAGAGTCAAATTAGATTAGGAAACAAAATCAATTTTGATTCATGATTTGTTTCCTCTATTATAAGGAGTCTTTTTAGGATAGAATTTGACACTTTTTTTTTTTTATAATATTAGTCTTACTAGGAGTCTTATTTGATACTTTCTATTTTTGTAATTCCAGTCTTACTATGAGTCTTATTTGTTTTTCTATTTTTATGTAACCCCAAAGGAGAATAACTTTTCATCAATAGAATTTCTCTTTTTAATATTTTCTTCGTGGATTCGAAGATCGTTCTTTGTGGATTCAGAGAACACCCTTGGTGGATTCCGAGGTTATCACTTCCGCGCTGCGTCATTGATGGTTGCTTTTTTCCTGGTTAAATGCGCGTGATGGTAACTTAGAATGTGATGCTAAATTACATAACGTAATGCAGTACTAATTCATATTAGTCATTTGAATTGATATAAATGGGAACATCAACTGCAATAAGTTGTTTGTTTTACTGTTACCACTCCGATGTTATCTGCACTTGTATTGATAACATGCACATGACACTCGCTAACTTTCTTTACTACTTCGCTGTAAACTAGGACAGTGCTAATTCATTATGCGAGAACTTGGAGCTACATATCTCTTGAAGATAAACTTGGAGATCCTGGGTGACGCACGATCAGCATGTCCCAGAGGTGATTATCTTTTCTTCGTTGTCCGGGAATGTGTGCTGTTGTAATAGAGTTTGATCTTTGTCTGCCTGCTTCTCTGTGAAGCTCCTTTTTTTATTTGCTTATTTGTATAATTGTGGAGTGTCATGTGTATGCTTTGAACCAGCAAGCTGCAAGCTTATGCCCTATGACAGTCACTTTTGATTAATAGGCACTCAAGCAAAATCCGATCTTTGTATTACGAAATTATACGGGACACTTTAGTCAAGGTTTGTATAAACTCATCTCTATAGAGCATGCCCTGGATAACTTTATTGGAAGCATAGTTATACATTACAAAGCTATTTTCAAACTACCGTTATTCTTTCCTTTGTTCGTGCGCATTTACATTTCAGTTTGCTTATCCTATACTTTTTTGTGTTTAATCATCCACCTCCAGAAATTTGTGATATGTATATTAATATTTTCTTGGCTATGATCGCTTGAACTTTTTGTTGTGTGCTTTTCTTACACAGTTACTATCCCTGTTAGTCATATTGTACATAGTTCTGTTAGATTTTAAAATGGTGAGAGTATTCAAGTGGGAAATTAAATACACAGGTTCATGCCAAAGCAATTCAGATCTTATTCTTTCTAGATAAATTTTCTTTCTCAATAATTTGAAATGTGTTTAAGGTGTTATCAAGGTAGTTTGGTTCTCAGTTGACCAGTTTGTATGGGATTTTTATTAATGTGGGTATACTATTCTTCCTGAAAGGTATCAAAATTGCAGTTGATGCGTACTACACGCAAGGTTAATTATTTAATAATTAGTCTTATATTAGAAACATGATAGGTGGTTTTGTTTGGGAACAGGATACCTTGTAGTTCTTCACCTAAGAAATATAAGGTAATTTCTAATTAGTGTTCACACAAAGGCACCATGAAGTAAAGTCTATACTGTACACCATTTATCCCTACATTCTCGCACATAAAGATTATTAAACCTCTCTCATTTAACACCATTAAAATTCATAGGGGTAATTTCATTATCAAATATGTAAATTTGAGGAGTACTCTCCGATAGGGTAGATTTTAGGGTATACAGGGAAAACCTTATTTTTCTAAGGAGAGTATTTTGTCACTTTATCCCTTTTCATGTTGGAATTTTACACTGTTATTAGAGAAGGGTATTTGACTAAATCTCAAAGAATGAAGCAATAAATTAGTAAATATTCAGATTTACTGGGTACATACGCGAACGGGAGAAATTATGGGGTACAAAAGTTAATTTTTTTTTAATATTATTAGCTTTTATGGAACCATATCTTTGTTTCAATTTGGGGTTATTGTTTTCTTTTCTCAATTTCTGTCTCCTTTTGCAAACTATCTTATCTTGTTTCTTGTCTAAACCTCAAACAGTTGGAGACTCTTATAGAAACAAAAATTGTATATGGTCATGATGCAGATTGACATTTAATAACTATGCCACTTCACTAGTTCTTTATAGTGGATTCAAGCTCATCTCCAGCTATTTTGGGGTTCTAATTTATAGAGAGATGAACTTGTCATTTAATACAAAACCATACAAAGAGAAATTGGCTTTGCATTTCCATTTCTGGAACCAGTTTGTGCATCCAGATCAGATTTTGTTTGATGGTTAACTCTGTGCATTATCAGTTAAGTATGTGATAATAATGCACAATTGTCATTTTCTTGCCCCACCCCCCAAGAAAAAAAGTCTTTTATGAATCTGAAAAGAGTAAGAAGACAGAGATGTCGTCGTTTTGGGAAGTTGTTTGTTCTGTATTTACGTAATAAATATTAAGTTTAAAGGTTCTCATCTTTTCTTTATTTATGCAAATTGTCGATGATAAACATAGAAAAATAGGAAAATGCTGCGTCTCCCGAATCCCTTCCCTTGAATGTGATTTTATGCATAATATATTGTTTGCTTGACAATGTTAACTTTGAAAGGTCTTTGACCTTTTAACATTGGTCAGTCATATTTGAATTCAGAGAAGATTGAAGTACCCGTCATTATTTAATTCAACTAAGGGGCAAATTCCATGCTAACTAAATGAATCAAAAGCTTTAAACTCTATTATGCAAATGAGGATCAAGTCATTTTGAACTGTACTTCGTGTATTGCACATGCACTTTCTTGTCACTATCATTACAATAAATAATTAAACTTGTGCTGTCAGTTAAGTTGCTAGTGGGTCTTGATATTTGGCGTGTATTTATAGTATAATACTTACACACATGCACACGCATACATGTAGAAACTTCTTTAACTTCCTTTAGTAAGATAGTAGTAATGTACTTTTAGTCATCTGCTTGAGCATTTACTTTAGTTTCTTTTATGAGAAATGATATTTGTTATCATATATGTAACATATTGTATTGCTTCTTGATAAGAATCCAGAAATAACTCCATAAAAATGTACCAAGTTGACTGTTTGGTATAGAATTTATTCCTTGATTTACCCAGTTTTGTTTATGTGAAACAAAAGGGAATTGATTTTTCCCCCCTTTTTCCATTCGTTATGCTAAATTTGCTTTTCTTTTTGTTGCCTTCTTTGCTGTATACTTGTTTGCATCGTCTTCACTAAGATAATACATTCTTTTCTTGGTGTTATCTCTGATGTCGAATGAGGAATGTAAAGTGTAATTTTGTTTAAACAGATGAACACATATCTTCTCTGATGTCTCAATATATTGAACTGTTTAATCGCTTCAACGGTCTTCTTCCAGTTAAATAAAATTAGCATTATGTTTGTCTCTTTTATGTGTATTTCTAGTGCATGCAAGTAGGCACTATATCTTAATGTGTTCAAACACGGCGAGGACAACAAAATAAGCAGATTTGGTATTTTCAGCTTTGTATAAAGCTGTGTCGGCTTGGATCAACATACTACTATGTTTTTTTTTCTTTTCCTATTTTGTTCTGCGAAAACTATATTATCTTGTTTCTTGTCTAATCATGAAACAGATGGAGCCTATAAATACAATTTGTTTTGCTGTCCCAGCTATTTCACAGCTCACAGAAGGCTGAAATCCAAAGATGTTGTTCTCATACACTGAAGACACTGGGTCAGGTTTGGTTTGATCCTTAAGTCTGAGCATTAATTTTTTCTTACCTATTTTTGAACAGCTTTCTGTTTTTATATTTATCTAAGTTTAAAGATTCTAGTACTCCCATATTTATGCAAACCTTGTATGACAATGACTAGCATTAAAAAAATGTGAAAATGATGTGTGCCTTATCTCTTTATGTGTCATCATTGTATAATCTATACCTAATGAAGATACACATCCGACTAATATTGATTACAAATTATATAGATTAGACCAATTCCAGATGCCAAAAAAAGTCAATTGCTTGGTGAAAACTTTGAAATCTTGAAATATGATGATATATTGAGTTGCACTTATAGTTGTTGTTGTCAATTATTAAGTTGGTTTATTCTATTTCTTGATATCGTCATAACCTTACGTCATTAATAGCAACATAAGCTAGTAGCTAATCATGCTGTTTATACTATGATGTATATTATGTCATACTTAGCAACAATTCCTGATTCGGTGTCATGAAATGGTTGCATTGAGGGGATTTCTTCATTTGTTTCCCCTTTAATAGCACAAAACTGATTAATTGCAGTTGTGGTATTTATGATTTCTTTCTTCATTAAGTGATGTTTGTTTCATAAGTATTCACCATGTGGGGAACTGCTTTCAAAGGTATTCAGGAAGACTCATGAAAAATACGAATTTGACTAATGAAAATATGTAATGTTACTCTTAACTAGCACAAGCACAATGGTTTACACCTCACACAAACCCATAATACTGAGTACAAAGCCTTGGTTATCCTAAAATATGCACAGTAACAAGATAAATAAATTTTCTTAGTATCAATACCATGTAAATCAACCTGAATACAATAGACTTCTTTAAGCGGTAGCTGTTTCCATAGCCTTCATAGCTTTAAACCTTGGCTCCTTAGCCTCAAACTTCTTCCGAACATAGAGATTCATGTAATCATTAAACACAAACTTTGGATACACATTGTTCTCCTTCTCTGATTCTTTCACCAAAGCTGGAGCAGGATAGATTACTGCATCGTTCCCTGGATTGTAGAACGAAGCTATCGACATTCTATTCCCTTCTGTTTGTGTGAGAACCCGATGCATAATGCTCTTGTATTTCCCATTGGTTATAACCTACAATTGGAAAGTGAAAATAAATTCCTCTATGGGGAAGAAGTTGATGTTGATATATTGCTCATCATGCAGCTGGTGTTGCATATTTTTGTAGAGAATCTTCTATAAGATTTTTGTTTTCTCTTGCAACACCAGCCACATGGTGAGTTTCATGTCAACATCTATATCGTATTCTATAGAGGACCCTTTATATGTTTTTTCCCTGATCAGAATAACGATATGATGTCGTAGCTTATTTCTTAAAATAAACAGTCGAGAGGTGGAAGAGTTGGTGAGTCCCACGTTGCATGCGCACCAAAATTTCTCTCTTTATAGCTTATTTTGCTAAATGAATTGTCAGCTCATATCTAGTAGTTTTGCTGAAATGGTGAATAAATAAAAAATAAAAATAAATAAATAAATAGATGACGTACCTCAATCTGGTCACCAAGGTTGACGACTATGGAATGTCTCATCGGCGGCACATCGATCCATTCTCCATCCTTGAGTAGCTGAAGTCCACTGACCTTATCATCTTGAAAGAGTAAGATTATGCCACCTGCGTCAGTATGGGCCCTGAGGCCCTTGAACAACTCAGGCCGTGGGCACGGCGGATAGTTGCTGACCTTTGTGCCATAGTTAGGACCTTTTGATCCTTGAAATGCATTCTTCAAGTATCCTTTCTCTAGTCCAAGGTTCTCGCACAATAAGTTCAGTAGCCTCTCTGATAGTTTCTCAATCTCCAAAGCAAATTCTTTCATCACCTTCCTGTTCATTCATTCATGTTGATTAGCAAGCTGATGTCTATGAGAGTTAGATGGGTGTTGAACAGAAAAGTTTGAAATTTGAGCAACTATCTGATTCTTGGTGTATCAATAGCTGTCCAATTTTAGATCAGTGCAAAATAATAAGATTTGAGGATTCACCAATTATCTTGTCTAAAACACCGCTGGATAGTTGTTGGTCTATGTTAATCTCATCTTTGTATTTAAGTGTATTAATGTTTCTGATAGAAAGAATATATACTTGTACTCATCATTGAGATCGGGTATTTCGTGAACATTGGGTTTAGGGAGATGGCGCAAAAAGAAGGTGCTTTCCCAATCCATATTGCTTGTGTCGACCTCTTCACCCTTCTCAAGAGTTTGGCTAGCGAATTCCTTGAACCTTCGCTCCATGCACTTCTTATAGTGGTCCTTGGTGAGCTTCTCCACTTTGTCCATGAACTCATGCGAGATCCCGTGGTTCATAACCTACAGCACATAGTTAAGCAACCATAATCCTAGGAAAATTGCTTGCATGTATATAATTTTGAGTTTGGCGTGCACGAGGTGACAAGATATGTAAAAATTAAGAGTTGTTAGGTTGACACATATCCACCAAAAAAACATGTCAATATTTTTTGTAGTATATACCTCGAAAAAGCCCCAGTTTTCACAGGCATCACGAAGTATTCCCATGGCTAATCCTCTGTTTTCTCCATTGAGCTCTTCCATGTTGATGATTGGGAAGGAATTCATGGCTCTCAAAAACTTTGCTGTCTCTCTTTGTACTCTCTTCCTCAAATTTCTGTATGTGTTGTTGATGGAAATTTAAGTTGACGAGGTTGATTTTTATAGACATTAGAGCATCAAGAAGTAAAGTTGGACAAAGTTTTTGTACCTCTAAAAAAATGCTCATGGGAGGCGCATATGATCCCATCCTCATCTGGTCTCTAGGGCGGCCAATGTATAATGTTTATATTAATATCTTCAATTTATTTGTACATATCAAGTTATTGTTCTTTTCAAATTAATTAAACGTGAGCATGGGTCTTTTGATTAGTTAACTAGGATACAGAGCCTTATGAAGGAAATTCTGGTCCCACTTAGAAACTAACCTTGATGAGCAAGAATAATTGGCGATTAATTATAGGCATTAACATTCTAGCCGTCAGCCAATATAAATTGCCTGGAAACTTCACATAATGATCAGAGGTCAAAGACTGAAAACGGATCAGGTTCTGTGGGTCCAGCTTGACTAAAACCGGACCTAGGTTATAAAAAATTCTTTGGTCATAGCTAGTTGAATTGGTCTGTGTTTTCTAGTTCGGATACTGTCTGGTTCATGGTGAATGATGTTATTGGACACTGAATATATATCACTTCTGAAATTTGAACTAAATTTCCAGATTTAAATGGATAAATCTAAATTTACAGGATTCAAATATTACCAATATACATGTCTAGGTTTTAGGTCTATATACATATCCATACATAGGTTTTAGGTCTATATACATATCCATACATCCGATTTCAAATTTGGAAAACTATGGGCAATTAAATCGTGATTAAAGTCGTCATCTAATATCGGAGGAGTGTTAAAATAACTATAGGAGGATATATGCTTAAAGCATATACTTAAAACATGGGAATACTATATCCATCACTTTGGGACCAGGATATGCGAATATTTACATATTTTAGACGGCCAATTAAATTGCTCGGCAGCTTCACTTACGATCAGAAGGTCAAATAATATTCCATATGTACTAGCTATGATCATACTAAAAAGAGTGTCACAAACGAAGTAACATATATCTTCTATTATTGATATTATCTGACATAGTCTTGAGACATATACATGCACCATTTATTGAAATGCAATGTATTCATTGTATGTTGTTGTGATCGTTAAGAGGGAGACGAAGAAGGCCCATAGAGAAGATCACCTCCATATTTATCATACTTACATAGTTACACGCATGCATGATGGTGTAGAGAGAAAAAAAAAATACTACATATAAAGATGAAGAACTGTGGGTTCCTGTGTTTTCCTAGTATCATGAGAGATGAGTTAATGACCCTAGGCTAGAATTCAATTTTAACCTAAAAACTGTAGTAATTAGGTATTGGTTCCAACTTCCATTTAAATTCATCATTCTCATCATATCTGATGTGGGACCCTACAGTCACATATGAACCTTAACAAGATGAAGATGGCATAGGGGTATGTGTATGACTGTATGAGTATGGGAACCACATCACATGCATGCACCTAATCTCATGGTCATTTCAACAATGGGCCTGTTTTGAAATCATTTATATTATGAGTTTGAGCTGACATCTGTTTTCTTGGTCAACCAAATACACGCGATGAAACTGCAATCTAAACTTTAATACCAATTTAAATCAGGCATGGATTTGTGTCCTTTTAGATGTTAGAAATAGATTTGAACCAAACACTTGTTATGATCATGTACTGTTCGAAGACATCCTGTTATGCATAAGTACATACCTGAGTATGAACCAGGAATTCAAACTTTCCCGTAGTTGTGTAAACTTTGTTTGAAAATGACTAGTATTAGAAAAATGTGAAAATGATGCATCTCTAATATCTTTACGTGTCATTCCTGTATTCTTAACAAAGATACTTTGTCCTATTAATATTGATTAATGTATACAGTTCAGATCAATTTCGATTCAGTAAGCCAAACTTGTTGAATTCAGTAGTAGATTGTTGAATTGGTTTATCCATTTTCTTCATATCTCACTAGTAGATTATTGAATTTGTTTATCCATTTCTTCATATCGTCATATGATTACGTTACTAAGAAAGGCATAAGCTATTAGCTAATGATTCTTTGCATACTAATGATGTATGTATGATGTCAGCACATTTGTACCCAAATACGATGCGACTACGTTTTAACTTGTGAGGTTTCATATTCACCCCCCCCCCCCTCACCCAAACACACACACACGGACACGCACACACGCACACACACACATATATAGACGTCTGTTTTTCCCCCCATTTAGTATGGCAAAAATGATCCAGCGTAGTTTATTTTAGTTTCTTTCATGGTAAGTAATGTATGTGTCATATGTATTGTAGGTGTCTTGAACTACTCATGAAAATGCATGTGCAAATGCTGCGGGTACGCTTTTCTATTTCCTTTTGTGACATTTAAATTAACATTACATATATTTACTAAAAGAACTAATTAGGGCGACTCTGCAACTTGACCAATAGTTTATTTTTTAATCGTCCCCAACTTTTCAGTCTTCTTTGTTTTTTGGTAGCATTTTTCTATTAGAGTTGGTACTTAAACAGAGAATACAATAAATAAATTGAGGGAAATTTTCACAAACTTTAATATGAATTATTACAGATTTTGTAAAATTATCATAAGCTATTTTTAGTTAAATGAAGCTTTCTTAAATTTTTTAATCAGTAAAAAAATCAAATACTAGCACAAAGGTAAATAGTAGATCATAATAATTCTAAGGTGGCCATAGCATAAACTTCACAGCATGCTGTATTTAGTAAAACACAATAAAACTTCTGGTATTTTCATTCAGGAAAGTTTAATTGGTGATAGTATGTTGTATTTTTCTTGTGAATATTGAAAATTTATGGTAAAATTTTCTTATAATATTACTTTATGGTAGTTTTATGCAAATTTTCTAATAGTTTGTGTTTGTTTTTGTGAAGTTTACCATTAATTTATGGTAGCTTTGGTGTCCTGACTTTTCTTTTTCAGTTGTGCTCTTCAGGTGCAATCATAGAAAATTTTGCATTCACCTGCAGAACAATATTCTCTAACAAAACATTTCCCACATTACCCTTTTGACTTCAACAAGGCAACAAACTAATTAAACAAGGGAACATTACCATATATTAATCTTACTGTGAATTAATAACAAAGGCATTATGCTTTACACCTCAGATACAGCCGAAAAGGCTAAGTACAACAAGAATTTGTTACCCTATGGCAAATACACTGACAAGCTAAATATGTTAAGTATCAGCTTTTGTGAGATAAAGGCAAATACAATAGAATTATTTAAATAGTAGCTGTTTCCATAGCTCTCATAGCTTCAAACCTTGGCTCCTTGGCCTCAAACTTCTTCCCAACATAGAGCTTCATGTAATCATCAAATGCAAACTTCGGATATACATTGTTCTTCTCCACTGATTCTTTCACCAAAGCCGGAGCTGCATAAATTATTGCATCATTCCCTGGATTGTAGAATGAAGCTATTGACATTCTGTTCCCTTCTGTTTGTGTGACCACTCGGTGCATAATGCTCTTGTACCTCCCATTAGTAATAACCTACATTTCGAAAAACGAAATTAAAAAAATTTCTATTTTTATCGCTTTCTTGATAGAATTTGGAAGGGCAAGATGAGAAGAAAATTCCTATGAAGGGCCGCTACAGAATATCATATAGCGAGAAAGCATATATTGACATGTATGTGGCTCATTATGTGGTTGGTGTTGCATCTTTTTTGTAGAGGGCTCTTTAAAAGTTTTTTTTCTCTTTCTCTTTCTCTCTCCTTGCAACACCACGCGTGGTGAGTCAGGTATCAACATCTATTTTTTCTCTATATAGGATTTTTTTTTGAAAATATAGATATGAGGTGTCGGTTCATTTTGTTAAAATGAGCCATAAGGAAATAGAAGAGGGGTGAGACCCATTTTTGAACTGAAACCTCATATCCAGTGTCCCCAATTTTGGACCAATTTTGAACTGAAATGAGCAAAATGAGCAGATAACTTATCCAGTGTCCCCATTGTCTCATCATGCTAGTCAAATTACAGCACGTGGACTTCAACTCTCTGTCTGTTGACAACTTAAATCACTAAATGAGCAAAATGAGCAGAAACCTCATATCCAGTGTCCCCAATTTTGGACCAATTTTGAACTGAAATAGTGATAGTGAAAACCTTCAGTAACTGACCTCTATCTGATCGCCGAGGTTGACAACAATAGAATGCCTCATTGGTGGCACATCTATCCATTCCCCATCCTTGAGGAGCTGGAGGCCGCTAACCTTATCGTCTTGAAAAAGCAGGATGATGCCACCGGCATCAGTGTGGGCTCTCAGTCCCTTGAACAGCTCTGGTCGTGGGCATGGCGGGTAGTTGCTGACCTTTGTGCCGAAATTTGGTCCTTTTGTTCCTTGAAATGCATTCTTCAAATATCCTTTCTCTAGTCCTAGGTTCTCACACAGTAAGTCTAGTAGTCTTTCTGATAGTTTTTCAATCTCCGACGCAAATTCTTTCATCACCTTCCTGTCATTAGATCATCCACATTGTTTAGTAAGCAGTTGTCAATGAGTGTTAGATGCATGGGTCTTAAACTGAGGTTGGAATCAAATTATTAATCCAAAAGTTTGAAAAGTTGAGAAACTATCTGATTCCTGGATAATTCGTACACCAAGAACTTTTCAACCTTGGATTGATGCAAGACAAGAGGATTTGAGGATTAATATGCACTAGTTCAAGGGTTCTTATTCTCTTGGTTCACCAATTATTCAGTCTAAACTCCTGTCCCATCTTTCTACTTATGTCTATTATTTATTGTTTCTACTTGAGAGAACATATGCCTGTACTCATCGGTGAGATCGGGTATTTCGTGAATGTTGGATTCAGGGAGATGACGCAAGAAGAAGGTGCTCTCCCAGTCCATATTGCTCGTATCGAGCTCTTCACCCTTCTCAAGAGCTTGGCTAGCAAATTCCTTGAACCTTTGCTCCCTGCGGTTGTTGTAGTGATCCTTGGTGAGCCTTTCGACTTTGTCCATGAACTCATGCGAGATCCCATGGTTCATAACCTAAAATCACACAAGCCACCAAAATTTTAGGGACAAATGCATGCATATACGCATGTAAATAAATATGAGAGTCAGCTTACAATATATGTAAAATCGAATCCGAAAACAGACAAATATTGTTTGTAGTACCTCGAAAAAGCCCCAGTTTTCGCAGGCATCATGAAGTATTCCCATGGCTACTTCTCGCTTCTTTCCATTGAGCTCTTCCATGTTGATAGTTGGGAAGGAATCCATGGCTCTCAAAAACTTAGCTCTCTCTTTGTATATGCTCTCTTGCTCAAATCTGTGTGTTTTGTTGATGGAAGCTTTAAGTTGATGAGGTTGGTATTTATAGATGGATGTTAGAGCAGCAAGAACTGAGGTTTGACAAAGTCTTTGTATCTTTAAATAAATAAATAAATAAATAAAACAACGATGCTCGTGGGAGGCGCATATGATCCGGTGCTTAGCTGGTCTCCTAGGGGCGGCCGATGTAATAATGTTTTTATTAATTTCTTCAAGTTGATTATATTTTTTGTTTGTTTGCTTTTACCTTGATTAATCAAACATTAACATTTGAAGTTTAGTTGGTTTGCATGCAGGGGATTGTGGTCCCACCCACTTGAGAAACGAACCTTCATGAGGCAAGAACACGTGACGTCTTTTTGGTGTTATTTTGAGACGACGTCGGCCAATAAATTTCTTCGAAATTTCACATACGATCAAGGAGGCGAGGACTACAACTGTATCGGATTCGGTGGGGTCCGGCTTGACTGGTGTTGGACCCTCGATATATATATATATATATATATTTGTTCTATGGCTTTTTTTTTAATTCAAATTTATTTATTTGGCTTGACAGGTACTGGAGCCTAAACAAAATTTTCTATACGGTAAGTTGTTCGAATTGAAAACAACGTTATCTTTGGGGCAAGTTCTGGTCTGAGTTATCAACTTACCACGAATGATGCTCCTATTTTTGGCGGCGAGGAACTCTTTTTTTCTTTTTTTTTTTAAATCCAGCAACAATGAAAACTTTGTTAGGGGACTTCTGCACCCAAGGGAGAGCCGGAGTTGGAGCACTCGCACCATTAGAAAGGCTCAATCTTTTCAAGAAAATCCCTAGGAATTGGAGCACACCTCATATATCCATATGCCAATATGAAAAAAAAAACCCGACAAGAGTATTTGAACTTTGGACCATTGATCATGTACGTATGATGTTATTGGACAGTAAATATATACGGTTGGAAGTTGGAACCCTACTGATTTTATTTGATACGAGTTTGTTAGCCTGGTATCTTATCCATTTAGATTGTCTGTTAAGTTTTAAATTTTTTTTATACAATTCACGGGTCTACATTTTAAATTGGAATAGATGGAGGTCCGGTGTGAATAAAATATTGAGAACATTGAGGGTGTGTGGATAGCCTTTTCACATGCCCCTGATACAGTGTTCACCTACCCTCAAATAGTGTTCACCTATCTTTTGCTATAGTCTTCACCTACCCTAAATAGTGTTCATCTACCCCTATGAGAAAACTTATAAATACTCCCCCCAAGCTTGATTTATAAAGCATCTTAGTAGCAGAGAGAGAAAGCGAAAGATACAGTTATAAGTAATATCATTAAGAGATATTGAGAGAGAGTTTGTGAGAATTCTTAGAGAGTGTCTTGATCAAGAGAGGATGTTCTCTTTTATCTTTTTCCTTTGTAACCTCGAAAGGGATATAAAGGAATTGGGCATCGTCGTTGCACCGTGAAGTAGCTCCGTAAGAGTGAACCACATTATATATGTGAGTACTGTGTTTGAATTCGTGTTTGCTGGTTTTATTTTGTGATTCCAAGATCGTTTGGGTGTATTTTGCGTCTTCGTTTGAGGCGTTCTTGCTGGCGTGTACCCTAACAAGTGGTATCAGAGCATACGGTTCGGGAAAGACGGAATCTTTCACCATGAGATCTGCAGTTGAAAACAACAGGCTTTAGATTGACAAGTTCGCAACTAAAATTTTAGGTATTGGAGGATGCAGATAGAAGACTATTTGTACCAGAAGGATCTCTTCCTACCCCTCCAAGGAGAGGCGGAGGAACTTGAGAATATGAACGACGATAAGTAGAAGGTGCTCGATCGTAAAACACTTGCCACCATCAGGCTCAACCTTCACCAACATGTGACTTACAACGTCTCGCATGCGACCACCACCAAGGAGTTGATGGAGGCTTTGGAGGCGCTGTATGAGAAGCTGTATGCGTCAAATAAGGTGTACTTGATGAAGAAGCTATTCAACCTAAAATGCGGTAAGGAGCTCGCGTAGCGGACTTCTTAAACGAATTTCAGGCTATAGTGCAATAGCTTGCTGCAATGAATCTCAAGTTCGATAATGAGATCCAAGCTCTTCTGCTACTTTCTTGTCTACCATATTCATGAGAGAATATGGTGATGACGGTGAACAACGCTAATAACAATGACAAGATGAAGCTCGACATGATGATTGAGGAAATTTTGGATGAAGAAACTCGCCACAAAGTCTCAGAGCTGAGGCCTCTAGCAGTGGGAGTGCTCTGCATGTCGAGGCACGAGGGCGTGTACAGAAGAAGGGTAGGGTGCGAAGAGACCGATCAAAGTCCAGAGGGAAGTCTAAAGGGCCGAATCCGAATGGTTACGGTGAAGGGAAGTGCTTCAGATGTGGAAAAAAGAGTCACTTTGCACGGGACTATAGAGCTTCTGTTTCAGCATCAGCAGGGGATGATCAGGCTAACAGTGCAACCAATTTTATCCACGAGACGGATTCAGATGCGCTTCTCCTATCTCTTGAAGATAAGAGCAATGCGTGAGTCATCGACTTTGGCGCATCTTGTCATGTAACCTCACAACAAAAGCTGCTTTTATCGTTCGTGAAGAAGGACTTGGGGACAGTCTATCTTGGTGATGATCAAACTTGCAAGGTCTCCGGGAAGGAAAATTGTACTCTCAATATGGAGGGTGAGACTACCTTGACGCCGAACAACGTTGGGCATGTACCGGATCTTAGACAGAATCTTATATCAGTTGGGCAACTGACTGACTCCGGTTATAGAGTATCATTTAAGCAGGAAAGCTGGAAGGTGTCCAAGGGTGCCCTGGTGGTATTACACGGAAAACGAGAGGGGTTTCTCTACATCGCCAATGGGAAGATCGACCGCTTGCTTGTCGTAGGATAAGCATCATCATCATCCGCCGACTGCATGACTTGGCATCGGCGACTTGGCCACATAAGTGAGAAGGGGATGCAGATTATGGCCACAGAAGAACGGCTTCTAGGTCTGAGCAAGATCGATCTGACTTTCTGTAAGGATAGCATCCTAGGCAAATAGAAGAAGGTATGCTTCAACAAGACCAGGCCGACTCCAAAACTACAGAAATTTAGAGTTGGTGCACACCGATGTGTGTGGACCTGCGCAAGTCCCATCTATTGGTAACTCTCTTTACTTTGTCTCTTTAATTGATGATGCTACTAGAAAACTGTAAGTGTTCTTCTTGAAGCACAAGTCAGATGTTTTCATCATCTTCAAGAAGTGACTTGCCTGTGTGGAGAACGAAACAGATAATAAGCTGAAGTGTCTAAAGTCTGATAATAGAGACGAGTATTATAGCCAGGAGTTCGAGAACTCTGCTCATCTCATGCGATTAGAAGACCGAAGACCGTTCCAAGCACACCTCAGCACAACGGAGTGGCGGAGCATATGAATCGCACTATCTTGGAGCGCGCCAGAAGTATGAGGATCCACTCTGGATTGCCCAAGAGTTTTTAGGCCGATGTTGTGAATACTGCTACATACTTGATCAACCACGGGCCATCCGCGGCTCCCAGTTATGGGATACCTGAAGAGGCTCGGACCGGAAAGAAGCTGAAGCTAGAACACTTACGAGTATTTGGTTATAACGTCTATGTCATGACCAATCCTACAGACCGGTCAAAGCTTGATCCAAAATCAAAGAATCTCTCTTTCATCGGCTATGGAGGAGATGAGTATGTGTACCGTTTTTGGGATCACGATGCGCGCAAGGTGGTACGCAGTCATGACATCGTGTTCCATGAGGATGTGGTGTATAAGACCAAAGAGGTGAGTGGGATTCAGCTATCTCCCCCTCCTTTCCCAGATATTACTGACAGTGATGATAGCGGTGAGATACCAGTCAACATAGAAGACGGAGACCAAGAGAACGTGTCGGATGCACAGCAGTAGGATCCAACAGAGTTGCCGATCGCAGTTCGCAAAGCTCTAAGAAATTCGAGGGTGACAGAGAGGTACTTTTTCACCATGAATTATCTTCTCCCGACTGACAGTGGTGAGCCAGAGAGCTATAAAGAGGTACAGCAGACCGACAAAGCTTGGAGCGAGTGGGAGTCTGTCATGGAGGAAGAAATAAAATCATTGACGAAGAATGGGACTTGGAAGCTCGTAAAGCTTCCAAGAGGGCGAAAAGCTCTTCAAAAATCGGTGGATTTATCGGGTTAAGGATGAAGCCGATGGACGGAGACGCTACAAAGCGAGGCTTGTAGTGAAGGGCTATGAGCAGAAAGTAAAGATAGACTATTTTGATATTTTTTGCTCCCGTTGTCAAGTTGATCACGATCCGGATTGTACTGAGCATTGTGGCAGTTCGAGCAATCTAGAGCAGATGGATGTGAAGACGACATTCCTTCATAGAGATTTGGAGGAAGAGATCTATATGCATCAACCAGTGGGCTTCGAGGAACGAGGCAGGGAGAGCCTCGTGTGTCGCCTGCACAAGAGCTTGTATGGCCTGAAGCAAGCTCCGCGACAGTGGTACATGAAGTTCGAGAAATTTATGGAGGAGAACGGTTTTCTCAAATACGACACAAACCACTGCTGCTTCATCAAGAGGTATAGCGAATCCTATGTGATACTCTTGATTTATGTTAATGACATGTTGATTACAAGGCCCAACTTGGCCCGCATTGAGGAGCTCAAGGGGCGTCTCTCTGAGTGCTTCGAGATGAAGGATCTGGGTCCAACAAACCATATTCTTGGATGAGGATCATCAGTGATTAATCAACACGTAGGCTGAGGTTGTCTCAGAAGGCCTATATTGAGAAGATTATTGAAAAGTTTAGCATGGAGAAAGCTAAACCGATGGGCTCGTCGTTTGTGAGTCATTTCAAGCTATTGAAGACCCCAAGAACCCAGAGATTGCTGAAGAGCATGAGTTCATGTCTAACATACCATATGCATCTGTCGTCGGGAGTTTGATGTATGCGATGGTTTGTACGAAACCAGATATTGCACAAGGAGTGGGAGTTGTGAACCGCTTCATGAGCAACCCAGGGAAGCACCACTGGGGTGCGGTCAAGTGGCTTCTACGCTACTTGAGATGCTCGTTCGACCGTTGTTTTGAGTATGGCGGGGTGTATTTACAGTTAGAGGGCTTTTGTGATGTAGACTACACCGGGGACATAGACTCAAGAAGGAGCACGAGCGACTACATCTTCATCTTGGATGGTGGAGCAAATAAGTTGGAGATCCAACTTACAGGATATTGTGACTATGTCGACAACTGAAGCCAAGTACGTGTATGTAGCACAGGCAGCAAAGGAGTTGCTATGGTTGAAAGCTTTTCTTCTCGAGCTTGGGGGTAAGCTTTGAGAAATACTTCATCCACTGTGATAGTCAAAGTGTCATTCACTTGTCAGAGAACAACGCATTTCATGCTTAGACCAAGCATGTTGACGTGAAACATCATGTCATACGAGATGACAAAGCAGAAACGAGTTTAAGCTTGTAAAGATTGATACGATGTACAATTCAACCGATATGCTAACCAAGCCAATTCCGCTCGAGAAGATGAGGTTGTATGCAGCCTCATATGGCCTCCGTTGAGAATGTTGAGAGTCGTGCAAGACGCCAAAGATGCAAGATATCCGGATGATGCAACCAAGAAACAGAGTTCGTTGAGAAGACTCTCCAAGTGGGAGATTGTTGAGAACATTGAGGCTGTATGGATAGCCTTCTCACCTACCCACTGCTATAGTGTTCACCTACCCCTAAATAGTGTTCACATATCCTCTGCTACAGTGTTCACCTACCCCAAATAGTATTTACCTACCCCCATGAGAAAACTTATAAATACCCCCTAAGTTTGACTTGTAAAGAATCTTAGTAGAAGAGAGAAAGAGAAAGATACATATATAAGTTATATCATTGAGAGATCTTAAAAGAGAGTTTGTGAGAATTCTTGGAGAGTATCTTGATCAAGAGAGGGTGTTCTCTTTTATC